TAACCTTTGGATATTAAACAATTTCACAAAAATGTTACCTGTCATATTTTAAACAGAAGTTACCACAAAGGCTTTCAAAATTTCTCATACATTTCGAAATGTCATTTTTAACCTAAATAAAAAGCGGAATTCTTCCTGCGGCACGTACATCTCATAAGAGTTCTAAAAAAGCCACAAAAATTGTTGATCAATTTTTGATTGCCGTCACTGTGGAAATCATAACACTATGCCGATTGCAAAGCGAGTTAGAAATTTGATGGTGGGTGGAATGAGGGGGTGAGGGATTGTCATTACAATTGGTTGCATACGAAAATAAACACATATCTATACACATAAATCCACAATCACATCTGAAAGGCATAAACAAAACGTAAACACGGCCACAAAAACCCCAAATGCCAATATTTATTTATTCAACACTAATACAGCGGCATATCTATGCCGTATATGTTCACCCACCCACACTCCATACACTCGCACATTTGAAAGGACACACCGGCACAGAGTCACAGGCACGTAAACCAAAAGCCATAGATTTACTTACAGAAACTCACGTCCCGTATTCTCGGGCACGAACACACCCGCATTTATAAACTTTTCCATAAAGCGTCGTTGCCGTAGCTATTGTTGTTTTTATTGTCGTTCTTGTGGTTGTAATTTTTTTCTCTCTCCCACTCTCTCTATCTCGCGGTCGTTCTTCTCAGTGGTTTTTACAAAATTAATTTTATGCTGAATAAAATATTGGAAATATCTTAAATTGTGATTTCCGTGAAATAGGATTGTTGGCTGGCTGGATGTGGGCTGTTGGTGGCTCTTGTTGTCGTTGTTATTTTTGCAATTTGCATATGACTTGTTCGTGCATGCCAGACGGAGTGGAAAAAGTTAATTTTGATTTCAAAGGTCTTTGGTTTTGGTTGTTCATTCGTTGGTTCGTTTATTATTTTCATTATTTGCGGTAAATCAAATTGGATTGAGTTTCCTTTTATTTTTTTCGGCAACATTCGGCCGTGATCAAAGGCATTTTCCTTTTGCAATGACATTGAACTTTGCCACGGCAAAAGGTACAACAAATGTTTGATTTGTTTGAATATCAGGAAAAAACCAGAAGACATGATGTGCTTCACTTAAAATGTGAACTCACAAATAATTAATGGTTGATATTAGCCATGGATTTTCTTGTTAGATGACATCGCGGTGGATTTGATGCAGATCAAAGGAAATGTGAATATTAGTTTGACACAAGCAAATTCGATATTAATTTCTTAATTCTGTAATTAAAAATTCTATGTATGAAGAAGAATGCCGATTTTCGATCACAAAATCAAATATATTAATTTTGAACAAATTAGAAAATTTAAACACGACTGATACGAAAGCCAGTTATTGTCTCTGTGTCCTGAAACTCGTTGGTTTTACTATAAATTGCGAAAAAATAATACTTCGTTGGGTGTATCACAAATAGCAAAGATTTTTGAAATTTCTAAAAAAAACAAGATATTAAACCAAATGTTACAAATTGAAATATATGTATCCTACTTATGTAAAAAAATTAATAAATAAATTATAGTTCCGCATTCTTACCCGCTCCTATTGTAATAACTAAAAAATTATAATTTAAACACTAAATTATTTATTAATTGATTTTCCAGTCGATTTTTCTAACTTCTGAGTTTCTTCTTCACCTAAGAGAGAATCTTTTAGTCTTCTGGGAGAAAATCTGTTGATCCTTGGTGAAACTACTTTGCGGTCTTCTGTGAGAAGACTTTCCAGCCTTATGTACAAAATTTTACAATGAACTGCGATCTACTGCTCTTCTATGAGATCTTCTGTGAGCAGAAGTACTGATCTTCTGTGAGAAGAAATTAATCTCGTCTTCTTTCGGAAGACCTGGATCAGGTCTTCTGTTAGGAGTCCTGTATCTGGTCTTACGTGAGAGGATATAGATCCGGTCCTCTGTACGTTGCGCTGGATCTGGTTTTCTGTGAGAACACCTGGATCTGGTCTTATGTGAGGAGACCTGCATCTGGACTATTGTGAGGAGACCTGGATCTTGTCTTCTGTGAGAAGACCTGAATCTGTTCCACTGGGAAAAGATTGCATCTAGGTTTCTGTGAAAATACATGCATCTGGTCTTCTGTGAGAGGACCAGAATCTGATATTCTGTGAGAAGAGCTGGATCTGGTATTCTGAAAGAAGGTCAAAATCTGGTCTTTTTTTTGGTGGTTTTCTGTAAGAAGACCTGTATCTGGTTTTTGGTGAGAAGACCTGGACTTTGTCTTCTGTTAGAAGATCTGGTCTTCCGTGAGAAGACCTGCATCTGGTCTTTTGTGAGAAGATTTCATCTGGGTTCCGTGAAAAGACTTTCACGTCTTCTATGAGATGGCCTTGTACAGTTATTCTATGGGAAGACCTTGTAATGATCTTCTTTGAGAAGACCTTGTATTGGCCTTCTATGAGAAGATCTTGTATTTGTCTTCCATGAGAAGACCTTGAACTAGTTTTCCTTGAGAAGACCTTGTACTGGTCTTCTATGAGAAGACCTTTTACTGGTCTTCCACCGGAAGACTTTGTACTGGTCTTCTACGAGAATACCTTGTACTGGTCTTCTATGAGAGGACCTTGTGCTGGTCTTCTATGATAGGACCTTTTACTGGACTCCTATGAGAAGACCTTGTACTGGTCTTCTATAAGAAGACCATTTTCTGGTCTTCTATGAGAAGATATTTTTATTTTTATATTTTGGGAAGACCATCCGCTCTGCTATGAGAAGGCCTTCAACTGGTCTGCTATGAGAAGACCTTCTGCTCTTCTATGAGAAGACCTTCTGCTCTTCTATGAGAAGACCTTCTGCTGCTCTTCTATGAGAAGACCTTCTGCTGCTCTTCTATGAGAAGACCTTCTGCTGCTCTTCTATGAGAAGACCTTCTGCTGCTCTTCTATGCGAAGAGCCTCTGCTGTTCTTCTATGGGAAGACCTTCTGCTGTTCTTCTATGAGAAGACCTGCAGCTCTTCTATGAGAAGACCTTCTGCTGCTCTTCTATGAGAAGACCCTCTGCTGTTCTTTATGAGAAGACCTGCAGCTCTTCTATGAGAAGACCTTCTGCTCTTCTGTGAGAAGACCTTCTGCTCTGGTTTTCTATGAGTAGAAATTCAGGTCGTCTATGAGAAGACTTCCTGGTTTTCTGTGGGAAGACTTTATCGTTTTCTATGTGAAGACTTTCTACTCTTCTATGAGAAGTCCTACTAGTTTTCTCTGTGAAGACTTTCAGGCCTTCTATGAGGAGACCATCTTTCGTCTTCCAAAAAAGTACCTTCAGAAAAAATATTCTTCTATGACTGCAAGGGTCTTCTATCACAAAATCTTCTGGTTTTCTATGATTAGAACTTATGGCCTTCTTATGAGAAGATAAATAACATTTCGATCTCAATGAGATGACCTTCCAATCTTCTAAGAGCCTGCTGTCTGTTGGAAGTTCTCTTCATATATATATTCCCTTTCTTCTATGAGAAGTCCTTTCGGTATTATATAAGCAGATCATTCAATTTTTTATGAGTAAGTCTTCCGCCCTCCATGAGATGACTTACCTGTTTTTTCTTTGTCCATCAGAAAACTTTCTCTTGATGTGTTAAACGAGCACCTGGTTTTTACTGGTTGTTTTAAAGCAAGATCCTTTATAAAAAATCTCCTCCTCTATATGTGAGACCTATTCTATCGAAAAAATCCGGCCTCCTAGGAAAAAAGCTACCGACTCATTGTCGATATTTATGTTAGAACTAGTGGCTTCTATTATAAAATTAGTTGTGACAATCTGAAGTTCAGATTTTGTATTCCAAAACTCTCTCTTGTTAATGAGACGATTTTGAACTTTCGATGGGAAGTTATTATTGTTTTCAATGTCTTCTGGGGGAAGACCTACATGTCTTTTTTTTGGGAAAATCTTCTAGATAGCAAAAATGATAGACCTGTTCGAAGTACTGGTTCTGTTAGAAATGTTTTTGTATTATTTTAGACGATTTTCGTATAAACCTGGTCTTTAATGCAGAGAGTTTGCTGTTTTTTTTTGAGATTTTGCTGTTTTTTTTTTTTTTTTTTGTGGATAGATGGTGACATGAAAACATTGTAATTTTTTATGTAAGACTTTTATTAATCCCTGAAAAAAATTAAGGAATACTCACAAGGAAACTTTTCTCTCCACTTCTTGTCCATTATTAATGCTCTTTGAGCTTTCTCAGAGAAGTTCTTGTAGTAAATATTGCAGCATTTTTTAAGTCCTACTATCCCAATCCTCCTGTGAAAAGTTCTTAAATTTTCTTATCGTCCGGGAAATTTCAGTACGAATTTAACATATTTTCCATTCACTAAACTCTTAAATACTTTTGTAGAAAATTTAAAAAATATAATTTAAATGAAAAAATAAATAGCGACCCTACCCACACCACATTTTTCCAAATGCAATGCAAACCATAAGAACATTATCGACAGGCCAATATACATGCCGCATACATTAATCATAGCTTTATAACTTTGTAAAGCCATGACTATCGTTCGAAATATGATAAATCTTCTTGTAAATCCTCTTTAAACAAGTCCATAGCTTACAGCATAGTTTTTAGTCATTCTCTAGGAATAAATAGACCCAACAGAAAATGATGGCATCAAGAACAAGTGCTGCCATAACATCCCAACTACCTACCAACCACTTGTGCCGGTAGCGACAGCAACACCACCTCTACCACCACAAAAGTGCATCATGCAGTAAAGTCCTTAACTAACGTCCTTAGCGATGATGGCGTTATCATAGTTTGTGTGCACTTTTAGTTGATGTCGTTTAGGCAAATCATAGCGTTTAACGTGTGGCGATAACATCACCATCAACATTTCGTTGGCTTTTTTCTCGCCGCTCTCTCTCTCCCTCTTTCTCTCTTTTCCATTTTGCTTTTTTTGTCTTTTTCTCACATCTCGCTATTTTTTTTTTTTCTTATCCATCCTGAAATTGTAGGCCTTGCGAAGTCGTGCCCGTAAACAGCGTGCAGCACGAAAGCCTCATCTTTCAGAACTGACAGGCGGAAGTGTCATTGAGAATATCGCACAAACACGGAGATTAGCGGAAACTGCGCTGGATAGCAGTCGACAGGGTGTACGTATAATGCCCGATGAGCCGGCAACGAATACAGGATCTGGGTCAAACGAGGAGGAGGATGAAAACGCCATATCACCAGACATTGATGATTGCCATGTAATTGTCAACGATAAATCCACCGAATTTATGCTGGCCACCGTGGTGGAGGAGACGGGCAAGTAAGTTGAGCTGATGTAAAATAAACTTTTTGTTTTTTTTCTTTTTTTTTCAATCCATGTAATGATGTCCTCCTCCAATGTATCTGTATCTGTGTGTGTTTGTGTTTGAAATTAATGAGGAATATATTATAAATCATAATGACAACGAAGGAAGCAGAATGGTCATTTAAGTTTTGTTTTTTCTTTTTCTTCTTTGTTCTTTGTTTTCCTATTACCTCCATCTCTACTTTGTGTATGTGTTTATCTTGTGCTTGCCTTACGTCCTCTGACATGGATTATTGCATTGGTGTATCAAACCGGTTGCCGTTTCTCTTCTATGTGAACTTTTTACAAATGGAGGTGCAGTGTGGTGGCCCAAATTACAACCCAGCCGCATCTAATGGTAGCGGATTCAAATGGTAATCATGATTCTGGTTATGCACCATCAAACGTTGACGATGTCCTTACAGGAATTGCTGAAGACTCATCACCACCTGACAGTCCGGTAGCCAGTGGGACGACCCTGCAACGATCGGCTATTAGCAGTAGGCGTAATACAGGCGATGTATCACCCAAACGGGAGCATGCCTTAAGGTGAGTGAAGAGGATTATTATTTCTCATTATTAAATTTTAGAAAATTTTTAAAGCATTTTTATAAATTTTTTTTAAAGTTATTGAAATTAATGAGAAATTAAATATTACAAAAGTAAGGGTATTTCGTTGGTACAACAAACCCCCCACAATTTTTATTGAACTTCTAACCGAATTATTTTGCACAAAGAGAAGAATGACCTTTAACTTTTTCCCATGGTTCATGTTTTCTTGTATCCGTCTTCGAAACATACAATCAATATATAAGAAACAAGTTACAATGCAGTAAGTTCGGCCGGACCGAACATTGAATACCATCCACAATTTGGAACGAATTTATAAATTGTCAAAAAATATTATCCTTTAAAAATTCTGTTAAAATTTGAAAAAAAACGAATATTGCCGTTATATTGGGGTCTATACCATGTCGACCTACATAGGTATTGCTTGTCATAAGTCATTACCATATTCAAATTCGAAACTAGAAATAAACGGTAAATAATTTAGCTAAAATCATCAAAATATAGGGAGGTATCGTTATATCGGAGCTGTGCGAAGACCTGGACCAGCATAGACAATTTTCTGTCATAGGCTGTAGCATCCATTACGAACTTAAAATACGACATCTCAAACAATTTCAGTGGGTATTGTACCTAAACTCAAAAATACCGAATATAAGGAGGTACTGGTATATGGGGCCTATACGAAGAACTGGACCTGCAGAGACGATTTTCCGTCACAGCCTGTAGTTCCCATTACGAACTCTAAATGAGTAATTTGAAACAATTCCGATGAATAATGACGCTAAAATCATCAAAATAGCGAATATTGGGAGGTACCATTATATGGAGGCTATACGAAGACGTGGACCTGCACAGACAATTTTTTGTCGTAGGCTGTAGTATCCATTTCGAACTTTAAATACCTAATTTGATACAATTCCGGTGAATAATGTCGCTAAAATCATCCAAATACCGAATATCGGGAGGTACTTTTATATGGGGGCTATATGAAAGCGTGGACCTACATGGCCCATTTACGAACTTAACCTGCCTAATGGAAAGATAGCGTGATTACAACAGACAGACGGACAGACAGAAAGACAGACGGACAAACAGATGGACATCGCTAAATCGAATTAGAATTTTTACAAACGGAATGACAAAGATAATATACCCTCCATAGTATGGTGGAGAGTATAAAAATTAGGCCACGGTCTCTGCAGGGTAACAAAAGAAAGACTTATATATTTCTCCCTTCTACACATCAGTAGCTCCAAATATTGACTATCGAAAAATTGGCCCGAACCGTTTAAATGTTTGATCTGGGATTTGACACTTTTTATACCCTCAGCCATATGGCTGATATCATTTGATATGGCCAAAACTTGCCTCATCGAAATAACGATTTTAGACCCTAGGTCTCAGGACACATTTGTAGACGATCTAGCGATGTCCGTCCGTTTGTCTGTCTGGATGGGCAGCTGGTACGCACGATAACTTTCGAAAGGAGTATCCAATTTGATCCAAACTAGGTACATAGTAATAATATTATCATACTTAGATCGAGTTCAGAGATGGACAATATCCGTCCACTCCTTCTGGTACCTTCCCCACAAAAGGTCAATATTTTCAAAAAAATATTTTACTGCACAAAAGTAAAAAATGATAATCCGATTTTGCTCCATTCTTGCAAATCCTGATTTTTGCATCAGTGGTACCTCCGGTGAGAAAATAGACGATATCGGTCCATTCCATCAAGTACCTCACCCCAAGGGGTCAAATTTTAGAATTATTACAACTCTTATAAAATGTTATGTCGCAGTCCGATTGTCCCAAGGTCTGGTGGGAAGATGCAATATATCGGTCGACTCCTTCTGGTACCTCCCCACAAAGGGTCAATATTTTAAATGCCCATGATGCTCATAAAACGCGAAATTAAGATCCAATTCCGTTCAGACTTGGCACATCTCAATATTTCCATCAGCACAATATCTATTATAAATATGGTAGAGATGGAACCATTTCTTCTGGTACCTCCCCCACAAAGGGTCAAAGTTTTGAGTAACCAAAACAATTATAAAATCCGGTTTCCCTTATATTTCATATTTTCTTTTCTTTGAAGACTCAAATAAAATAATTATTTGTTGTAGTGTTTTGCATAAATTTACATAACCCCAAAATATATGTTAAATGCAGGGTGAGATAAAAAAAAAACTTCAACAAAGTCAAACGATGTTGGAAAGTCCAAGGTCTGCGGCCAAAATGTTTGCGTGCCCGCCCAAGGCTTTAATACACCCTCCAGAATATTTTCGAGATAATATTCGTCATTTATTCTGATGCCACGATCGATGAATACGAGCGGAGAGCCACCATCGTCTGTTATGGCGGCCCACACCATTACCATGGCCGGCGCTTGAGTTTTGGTGGCCAACCGAAGGTGCACATTTTTAGCTGATCTCTTTGGCAAGAGAACACGCTCATTTTGTTTGTTTACAACATAGATGCCCAGTAGTGGCTGATTTCAGCAATTTCAACTCACACATATTCTTACGCTCTTTTGTTTGATCGCCAATCAACCAATAGGAAAGCAGAAATATGAGTGGGAGAGACAAGCTACACAGGCAGAAATTCTGTGTAATATTTACATTTAATCGTAATCGAGACTGCTGTTAGTGAACACATAAACTGAAAATTATTGCTATATGTCAATGATGTCATTTCAAAAGCATTTTATGCTACAAAATGCTTTTGATGATATGCAATGTGTTATATGTTATAAGACATTTAAAAAAATAAGAAATATAATAAAAAAACATTTTGAAACTGTTCATAAAGACATGAATTGTTTGCAGGGGGAAGAAAAAGAAAAACGATTTAAAATGTATAAGAAACTTTTTATAAAAAAGTTGAGGGAATGGGTAAATCAATATAGAGATAATGATGAAGATATGGTGGAGGAGAATTTAAAAATGGGTTTATCTAACTTAATAAGTTTATATATTATAAAAAAGGGAAGGCCATTTTCAGATGGGCCGTTTGTCAAAAATATGTTGTGTCAAGTTTTTGAAAAACTTAATTTTAACACTAATTTTATTAAAAAATTACCTTTGTCCCGCAATAGTATAACCCGGCGATCCCTGTACATTCATTAATTTTACATTTCCCAGAAAAAGCAAAAAATTACGTCGTCGCTATCTCGTTGACGACTAAATAAATTGAATAGAAAAATATTTTCTTCCAGTGTTATTTCGTCGCTCTCACCAATACTATTACATTGGGCATCTATGGTTTACAAACTGCTGGACAACGAATGTTTCCTCATCGGAGAAAACGAAACTCTACAGTGCATCACTTTCGGCCAAACGAAGCAACTCTTTAGCTCTTTTGAGTCTATTTTCTTTCTGTTGTGGTGTACGTTCTTGTACTTTTTGGAATTTCAATGGCTTTACCACGGGCTCATTTTTCAATTTTTCCAGCCAAATATAAGGAAATCACACTATCCCGCTTAAATTCCATCACGAATAATTTTTTTCTGGAAAATTCTCACCGAAATGCTTTTATACGCTTGTAAACAATATGATGAGCTGTCACTAGAATAATTTTAACAGCTGTCGGATGGGTGGCTTCGAAATGACAACACTATGAAATTGGTTGCAGATTTTCTATGTCATCCTGTACATATATAATCTGCTGGATTTTAGCGTAATTAGTATTGTACAGTGTAATCTAGAAAAGTGTAAGTTTCCTGTCCCTTCGAAGAACTAGTCCAAATAAAAGCTGTTAAAAAAGTAAAAAAAAAAAACATTATGTTCAGCCGGGGTAAACTTTTAATGCCCTCCACCATTGGTTAAAGAAACTACTAATACCAGTAAGTCCGTTTGGATAATGCTGTTAAGTGGGTGAGGCCGTTATTTGGGTGCCATACAAAAACGGGAAACTCTATAGACAATTTTATACTTCAACGATTGTCATCCACCGAATCTTCATAATTACCAAATGTGAAAAAAAAATTTATGAAAAATGTGACCATGATTTCAAAAAAAAAAAAAAAAAAAAAAAAATAAGTAAATAAATAAATAAACCCGAATATCCGTGGATATCTCTATATGTCGACCCAAATATTTTGCTGCCGGAGCTAGAACCCATTACGAACTACAAATACCTATTTTTGGACAAATCCGTGAAAAAAAAATTGGCAATAATTATATAGGGGCTATACAAGAACGCGGTCCTATACACAAAGTTTTTTTGCCAGCAGAGTTGGAAACCATTTCGACCTACAAATAAAAATTATTGGACAAATCCGTGGAAAAATTATCAAAACACGGAATATCGGGAAGTACCGTTATATGGCGGCTATACCAAACCGTGGACCTATGTATCTAATTTTCAATACCACCCTTCCTAGACGTAATGTGTTCTGCCGAATTGTGAAGCTCTATTTCAAATAATGTGGGCTGACGGTCAGACAGACGGACGTCGTTTAATCAGCTTAGAATTTTATGCTGATTGTCAATATATTTTTACTTTATGGCGTCCACTACGAATATTTAGGGATAATCGGGAGGTACCGTTATATGGGGGCTATACAAAAAACGTAGACCTATACATAAAATTTTTCACCACTTCGAAACCATTTCGAACTACAAATACAAATTTTTGGACAAATCCGTGAAAAAATGTGGCTATAATCATCAGAATACGTAATATCGGGAGGTACCGTTATATGGCGGCTATAGCAAAACGTTGACCGATAGATCTCATATTTAATACCAACCATCTTAGATCCAATACATATTTTTCTTCCAAATTTTAAAGCTCTACATCAAATAATGTGGGCTGTATCCTGATTTCAATAGACAGACAGACGGACATACTAAATTCGACTTAGAATTTTATGCTGATCATGTATATATTTATACTTTATCTGGTCCACTACGAATATTTAGGGATGTTACAAACGGAAGGAGGACAAAGTTATTATATACTCCTTTACAAGC